GAATATATAATGGAAGCAATGATATGTTTTTTTGATTATTATATGTTTTTTTGTTATATTATATTTCTTTTTTGTGATATATGTTATTGATTGAATAAAAAAGGAAATAAAAAACCTACCGTAAGTAAAAATAAAAAAAAAACAAAATATATTTATATATATAAAACAAAAAGGATAATAGTAAGAAACCATTTCAATATAGGAGAATTAAGACGATTTAAATAGTGGTGACCCCGACATTTTGCGGGAAAAAGTTTATTTTAAATAAGAAAATAGTAAAAGGTTTAAAAAAGAAAGAAACCTGAAGTTATAAGAATAAGGAAACATAATAAACGGTTTAAAAATAAAGAAACCTGAAGTTATAAGAATAAGGAAACATAATAAACGGTTTAAAAAAGAAAGAAACCTGAAATTATAAGAATAAGGAAACATAATAAACGGTTTAAAAAAGAAAGAAACCTGAAGTTATAAGAATAAGGAAACATAATAAACGGTTTAAAAAAAAAGGAAACCTGAAATTATAAGAATAAGGAAACATAGCAAACGGTTTAAAAAAAAGAAGGAAGCCTGAAATTATAAGAATAAGGAAACATAGTGAACAGTTTAAAAGAAAAAAAGGAAAACCGGAATTTATAATAATAAGGAAACATTGTAAAGGTTTTAAAAAAAAAGGAAAACCGGAAGTTATACTAATAAGGAAACATAAAAAGAAAAAGAAAGGGTTTTAAAAAAAAAAGGAAAAACCGGATTAATAAATTTTTGTACGGCATACAAGATATATGTATAGCTGCATCTTTGGTTTGTTTACAATTCTCATAGTATTTTATTTGTTAACGTTGCAAATTGTTAAACTCTTTATATTAAAAGTGTTAGTTAACTTTTTGTAGACAGAAAATGAAAACTTTTAAATTTATGAAATATTGGGAATTACAATATAATATTGTGGGAGCACTACTCATATTAGGGATTTGGACGTGTAGTTTGATTTGGGGTAGAAGAGTCAAAAAGAGTCGTAGCGTGAGAATAAAGGGCCAGACATTAACAATAGAGGGGCATAATGGAGAGGAGGATGTTATGGGAAAGGTAACATGGTTGCCGGTTCAAGAATTAATTAATGGATGGACAGAGAGTGAAGTGGATAAATTAATAAGTAGGCCTGATGGGAGGGAGGTATATAGTGATAAAAGGTTGGGACCTTATAGGGGACCTAGAGAGGATTCTCAGGGACGTAGAGGGGAAAGAAGACCCAGTTTTGATTCGAGAGTGAGGGGAAGAATGGATTGTTATAATTGTGGAAGACAAGGACATATGGTCAGAGATTGTAGGGAGGCAAAGTGTTTCGAATGTGGTAGATTTGGTCATATAGCCCCTTATTGTCCAGGAAAACAAGATAAATTACGATGCGCGGTTTGCAGAAGATTTGGTCACAAGAAGGAAGAATGTAACACGGGAAATTATAATACTCGAGGAGGTTTTCCCCAGAGAGTAATGGGACCTAATACTTCAGCTGTGCGAACCATTGAGGATGCCAGAGTTGGGAGAAGAGGAGTATTTCCGGAGGGAGTTGAAGATCAAACCGTGGAATGTTTCCGATGTCGAGAAAGGGGACATGTGGCAAGGGATTGTGCTAATTTGTGACTATATGATGGTAAAAAAAAAGATACACGGGGCCAAGAGAGGGGGGTATTGGAAACAAACAAAATGTATTCACGAAGACAAAGAAATGTAATTGGGAATGTAAGGATGATACAAGACGAGGTAATACATGATCCTTGTCCTAGGGTAATAATAGACTTCAATGGAAATAGGGTACCTATGCTATTTGACACGGGAGCAGCTATTTCAGTAATGAGTTACACGAGATATAGGAGTATTTAGCCTGATGGAATGATAGCAAATGAAGGCTTGAGAATACGACAATTCGATGGGTCGCAAATAGCAGTAATGGGAAGAGTGGAAATAGAAGCAATGACGGAAGGAGGGATAGAGGTTTTGGACTTATGGATTATTAATAGGAGAGTAGAAGCGGTATTGGGGTGGGATTGGATCACCCGGATTGGTCCATGGTATAGTTTTTGGGGGGTATTTGCATGGTGGGGAGTATTCGTGCCGATGGTGAGTGATGATACCGATGGGAGGAGGACATATGAGGACGTAGAAGTATTGCCTGGAATTGAGAACATGTTCAATTGGGAGCGGGAAGGAGTTGAGGAAATGAGGGGAGAAATTAGGGACGGAGGTCAGGGAGTAAGGTTTAGGAATGAGGTAATCAGAAGAGATAATCATAGTGGAGGAATAAGCGGAGATTGGGAAAGGGAAATGGAAAGGAATAATTTTATAAGAGGGATTGGGGCAAATAAGTTTAAGGGGGAAATAAGGGCGCATAATCATAAGGGGAAAATAGGGAATAATTACAAGGGGGAAATAGGGGCGTATAATTCTAAGGGGAATAAGTCTAAGGGAAAAATAGAGGCGCATTATTCCAAGGGGGACAATTCTAAGGGAGAAATAGAGGCGTATTATTCCAAGGGGGAAGTAGGGGCGGAAAGGAATAATTGTAAGGGAGGGGGAAAGAGGAATTACGAGGGAGAATTAGAGGTGGGAAGTTATGGGTATGCGAGTAAGGAAAATGACAGACACAGGGAGGGGAGGATCCAAGAGACAACCGATAATGGAGCAAAGGAAGGGAAAGGGAAGTTGCAGGATAATCAGGAAGTTAGAATAAAAAAAGAAATGCCAAAGGAGAATCCGAGCCAAAACACGGCATGTGGGAATCGGGAAGGAGAGTTGGAAGTAATCAGGATGCGGGAGGGAGTAAGAAAATTAGAGGATGATTATCAAGAAATTTTTGACGAAGAATTGGGCTGTTTAAAAGCTTACGAAGTAGATATCAAATTAAAAGAGGGATGTGTACCAAAGTTTTGTGCTTTGAGGCGAGTACCGTTTGAATGGAGGAAGGATGTCGAAATGGAATTGGATAAATGGGTACAGAAGGGCATCATATGTGCTGTCGAATATAGCGAATGGGCCACGCCGTTAGTGCCTGTGAAAAAAGCTAATGGTCAACTACGCTTGTGCGCTGATTTTCGAGTGACTCTAAATCCCTGGGTCGTAGAAGTTAAATATCCCTTACCGAGAAATGAAGAAATTTTAGCGAATTTGAAGGGAAGTATATATTTTTCAAAAGTTGATTTTTCCAACGCGTACTTGCAATTGCGGGTAAAAGCAGAAGTAAGAAAGTTGTTAACTATTACTACTCCCAAGGGGTTATTTGCGTTTTGTAGGTTACCGTTCGGTTTAAGTGTATCTGCTCCGATATTTCAGAGGACTATGGCTGCGGTTTTTCAAGGGATGGAAGGCGTATTCTATTATATGGATGACGTATTGGTAATGGGCCGAACTCCGGAACAGCATGAGCAAAGATTGAAGGAGGTGTTCCGAAGAATTAAAGAGAAGGGTTTGCGGGCCAGTGCTGAAAAAAGCGTTTTAGGAGTAACGGTTGGGACATAAAATAACGGGAAAAGAGGTTAGACCGTTGGATAAAAATATGACGGGAATCGAGAATATGTTGAGGCCGCATAATAAAATTGAGGTTCAGGCTTTTTTGGGAATGGTAAATTACTACCACCGATTTGTAGAGGGATTCGCTCAAATAGCTGCGCCATTATATACATTGCTAAAGAAGGGTGAAAAATTTGATTGGAAGGAAGAACAAGAGAATGCATTTGCAGAATTGAAAGCTAGAATTGGAAGGGAGCCCATTCTTATGTGTTTTAACAACGAGTTGGAGGTGGTGTTGGCGGTAGATGCATCGATTAAAGGAGTAGGTAGAGCGTTACTGCATTATATCGATGGGATGGAAAAACCTGTTTTGTTTTTCTCGAGAATATTCAGAGCCGCAGAAACAAGGTATTCTGTGATTGAAAAGGAGGCATTGGCTGTTATATTTGGACTGACGAAATGCCGTGAGTATTTGATTGGGCGTAGATTCGTGATATATACAGACCACAAGCCGCTAGTACACCTGTTCAAAAAGGATAATAAAGAACTGATGCTGTCTCCCCGGTTACAGAAATGGCTCTTACTTGTGGGAAGTTTTGATGTACAATTGAAGTATCGACGGGGAAAGGAAAACTGTTTACCAGATATTCTTTCTAGGTGTGGAGCTGGAGAAGAAGGATATGAAATGGCTCAAGAGGATATAGAGGAGGGAAAGGAGCAAGGACTAATTCGAGCAATGGTCAAAATAGCCAAGGGAGGACCGATAACTTGGGCAGAACTTAAAAGGGCAACTCTAAAGGATCGTGAATTGACTCGAATTAAGGCGTGTATAAAGGGGCGAAAACCTTGGAGCGACGGAGATAAAGTTTTTAAATACATCGAAAAGGAATTAGCTATAGTGGATGACTGTGTGGTACGGGGAAGTAGGGGTATAGTACCATTTAAATTGAGAGATTCGGTCTTGGCAATGATTCATGCAGGGCATCAGGGAGTCGAGAAAATGAAGCAATGGGGCCGAGAATATGTATGATGGCCAGGAATGAACAAAGAGATTGAGGACATAAGCCGAAGCTGTGAAATGTGTAACCTCTGGGCGAGTATGCCTCACAGAGACAAGAAAAGTGTATGGCCCAAGACTACACAGCCGTGGGAACGTATCCACATCGACTTCTTTGACTTCGAGGGGCAAATATATTTAATTGTGGTAGATGCGTACTCCAAATGGGTGGAGTATGAGGCAGTGAGGAGGCTAACTACGCAAATTGTAATAAAGACTTTAAAGAATTTATGGGCTCGTTTTGGAGTAGCAAGGACAATCGTGTCCGGCGGTCCCGCTTTTGTGAGTAGACAATTTGAAAAATTTTGCACGGAAACCGGGGTAAAACATGTCTTAGCACCTCCGTATCATCCAAGCTCAAACGGACAGGCGGAAAGAATGGTAGCTCTGGTTAAAAGTTGGTTAAGAAAGTCGAAATATGGCGGGGGGGGGGGAACTATGGATGGCCGTAGCCTATTATAATAATAGTCGAAAAAGGGAGGAGTTGTCGCCGGCGGAAAAATTTTTGGGCCGTAGAACTCGCATTCAATTAGATTTGTTGAAACAAGAGATACCCCCAGAGATGGATTCGGGGGATAACGTGTATAAATTCGGGGTGGGACAAACGGTTTGGGCAAGAATTTTTGGGGGTAACCAGAAATGGGAATCCGGTGTGGTCATAGAAAACGTGGGGCACAAATTGCATAGGATACGGTTCTCAGATGGGAGAGAAGGCATGAGGCACAGAGATCAGTTAAAGAGAGGAATGGACCCCGGAAGGCTTAGGTCGGATCAAAGGACTTAGGTTGGGGAGGTGGGAATAGGGGAAGTCAGCGTGTGTGAAGATAAAGAGGAGTATATAGAAAAGGAAAGGTAATAAAAATGGGCAAGGTGTTACCGGTAATTTTGTGTCTATATCAAATTAAAAATGTATCATTTGCTATTCTTATACTTCCCTTTTGTTATATCAAATTACAAATGTATCATTTGCTATTCTTATACTTCCCTATTGTTATATCAAATTACAAATGTATCATTTGCTATTCTTATATTCCCATAGTATCCCAACGATTTACTTTCAATTTGTACTTTAGATTAACTGTATTTGACTATATGCCATTTAATTAAATCGCAGATGAGGAAAATAAAAAAAAAATATATATAATGATGTAAAAATTTTTTTGGGTAACAGATGTAATTAATTTTTGTCTTGTGATAAGTAAAATGTCAAAAGAGTTGGAACGATATGTTGTTGGGAAGCATATTATTGGAAAGGAGATTTGGAGATGTTAGAGATGGGAAAGGGGCACCGTCCCAAATTATTTGATGAAAAGATAATTAATTACTAGGCGTGCAAAGCATAGGCTTAGGAGGCAGTGGGCCAAAAGAAAAGAAATAGGGGAGGGAGAAAATTTTTTTTTAGAAGAAATTTTTTTTTGAAAAGAAAAAAATTTATTATAATTTTTTTTGTGTGTAAATTAAATAAAATTAGTGATTACTTTGACTTGGGGAATTCCGTAAGGAGTATGTGTTTTAGAAAAGTATATAATATAGAATATGTTTAGGTGAATAATCGAATGAATCCTAATCACGCTCTGAGTTTGTCCAGAAGCTCGATTTACGGGAACTACGAAATAGTATTCAGGATGCGATCCCGAGGGACAGGACGAGGGAGTAGGGGGAATAGATGGAGAAGCGGGCGCAGTATAATGAGACGAATGAGGGACGATAGACGGTGCTATTGGTGTCAAGAGCTAGGGCATATTCAATATAGCTGCCCTTGGAATTGGCAGAGGACAGGGGGAAATAGAGAATGGCGGACGGTGCGGCCAACGGTAGAGGAAGTGCCTACGCGGCAGATAGCAGTCGTTTTGGGGCAAAGCGCGGAGCAGGAGCAAGGAACGAGCGAGGAATATGGACAGGGCGCCGAAGTCCGGGAAACGAGCGACGAATCTAGACCGGTCGCCGAAGTCAGAGGAACAAGGAGATCAGAAGGTGGGAAGCGGATCGAGCCGGCAGCTAGCGAGGAACCAAGGATATGGCCGGAGATTGATCTTACGGATGAGAGTGAGGGACTGAGTGGTATCACGGGGGAAGATAGGACCGCGGAATCAGAACAGGTAGGAGATAGTACAGGAGTAGAAGTAACTGAAGAATGGCAAGACCTGGTGGCGGGGTTAGATGATGTAGAGGAGCTGGGAGAATGGCTGGATATCGTGGTGGAGGAGTCGGAGTGGGGTAGCCTCTGGGAGGAGTAGTTGGAGGATCGAGTCTGTTGAAAGGGGGCGTGTCGAGGAACAATATCGAGGAACAGTATCGAGGAACATTATGAAAGAAATAACGAGGAACATTATTTAGGAACATTATGAAAGAAATAAAAAACCTACCGTAAGTAAAAATAGAAAGGATATCGTGGTGGAGGAGTCGGAGTGGGGTAGCCTCTGGGAGGAGTAGTTGGAGGATCGAGTCTGTTGAAAGGGGGCGTGTCGAGGAACAATATCGAGGAACAGTGTCGAGGAACATTATGAAAGAAATAACGAGGAACATTATTTAGGAACATTATGAAAGTTATATCAATTATTATTATTATTGTTTTTTTTATCGAATAGGAAAGAATTATTATTATTATGGTTTTTATCGAAAAGGGGAAAAATTGTTTATTATTATTATTATTGTTATTTTGATTTTCGTTTTGTGATGAATAACGATGAGGGGGTAGAAAGTGAATATATAATGGAAGCAATGATATGTTTTTTTGATTATTATATGTTTTTTTGTTATATTATATTTCTTTTTTGTGATATATGTTATTGATTGAATAAAAAAGGAAATAAAAAACCTACCGTAAGTAAAAATAAAAAAAAAATATATTTATATATATAAAACAAAAAGGATAATAGTAAGAAACCATTTCAATATAGGAGAATTAAGACGATTTAAATACCACCAATTATGATATTTGGATTTTGGACTGCACTAGGGGAAGGATGAATGACTGTTTTGTTAAAATTTATTTTTAAACCCATTTTTAGACTTAAATTTTCTAGTAGGTATAACAGATTTTCCGTTTCTTTGATGCTTAAAGACACGTTAGCGATGTCATCTGCATATGATATTATCCTATTTTCTAGATTTAATTTTGCATTTAAGCTCAGATCCATTAAACTCGCAGCTCCCGAGATCATTTATAATTTTATACATTATGATATTAAACAGAAGAGGTGAAAGTACACATCCTTGTTTCACACCTTTTTTAATCCTAAAAGGGGGGGGGGATGTCTTATTGTTGATTATGATACAACCGGTAAGATTCGTGTAGTGATTTTTTAATATGTGAATTATATCTGATTCAATCCCGCATTCCAACAACGTTTTCCATAAAGCATCATGATTAACATTATCAAAAGCTCTGCTGAAATCAACGAAAGTGAAGTAGGCAGGAATTTTATATTTGCAACATTTTTGTATTATTATTTTTAGTGATTGAATTTGTTCTAGTATATTTTTCTTAGGTCTATAGGCACAAATATATTTCGGAAACAAGGTTGGTAGAGATGACATGATTTTATTTTTTATTAAAACCATGAATATTTTAGACACAGTAGATGTGAGGGCAATCGCACGATAATCTTTAAAATTTTTTGGGTCTTTTATTTTTGGGAAATTACATAATAAAGAGATATTCCATTCTGCAGGGGTTTTTCCGGTTTCTCATATTTTATTAAAAGATATAATAAAAAGGAGGATATAGTTCTAGGAGCAATTTTTAGATGTTCAGCTGTTATTTTATCAAGTCCGGGAGCTTTATTTTTACGCAATTTTTTAATTACTTTTACAATTTCATCCGTGGAGAAACCCGACGGGGGCGGAACTAAGTGCTCATTAATGTTTGTTGGGCGGATAGCTCTTCTTGAGTCAAAGACCATCATATAATAATCAAGCCATAGTGCAATTTGTTCTTCTTGGTCAAAGATTTGCTTTCCATTTTCTAGAACTAAATAGGGAAGTTTCTTAAAGCTGTACGGTTTACAAAAATAATTCAATTTTTTATAAGCATCATAGATTCTATTTTCTTTCATATCTTTATCAATTTCAAAGGCTTTTTTTGCAATGTATTTTCTTCTATCACTCCTCAATAATTTTTGTACGTCTTTCGACAATTCTTTATTCAAGTTGTTACCTTCTCTAAGTTGACTAATTTTTACTATTGTTTCATTTGTTAACCATTCACTTCTTGAATAAATATTTATATTAGGTAGCCTATTATAAGAATCTGTAATATCTTTTTTGAAAAGGTTCCAGTATTTATCAATACTTCCATTCGAGGACATATTTAGAAAATAGTCTCTTTTTCTGATAAGTATTTGATCAAATAGCAGCAAATCATCCTGCGATTGAGCTTTAATTTGTTTTCTGGAGAGGAGGGGTTTTAAGAGATTTGCCCTGTGAAAAGAAGTATTTGGACTAATCTCATTATGGTAACCTCATATATTTTTTATAGTTATTTTGGCTACTACTATTCTGTGATCTGACAATTTAATAATATCCAAATTCAAAAAATGAATGAATGTTTTTGTACGATCTTTCTTTTCTATGTTAATTTTTATAAAATATCTAAGAATTAGTTTATTCAAATGGGTATTTACAATATTTTCCATTTTCTTGCACCATACAAGATTTCGATACCATTTTTGGATTTTCACTTTCTAATACGTTGGGATGCTATTTTCTCAAATGGTTTTTTAAATTAGCTATAATTAAAAAAAATATAAAAAAATCTATTATTGAAGCGTATTATATTGCACTTTCGCGTAGTTTTTTTTGGCCTATCTATAAAGTTGGATTTAATAATTGAAGAACTATCTAATTAATGTTGTTTCATCTTCTAACTTCTGGTAGGACTAAACCGATTTGCGTCTAGACATTAAAAAATAAAATTAAGAGAATTTCAATATAGTATATTTAATCAATATAACAGCCTTTTAATATATTTACCTCGTCAAAATTATTATTAGGACTTTCATATAAAAACGCTTGCGAGTGGAATGAAAAATATAAATCAGAGTCTACAAAATCAAACAAATTTTTTTAATGCAATTAAAATAAAAATTATCTTTTCTTTTAATATTTTTACAATGGGGGAGGCTGAATGAAATTTTAATTAAATATAAATAAAAGAAGCCTTTTATTATCTAATTATTAAATTTCCATAGTAATAAAATACTAATTTTTGGAAAAAAGAAGGAAGGGAGAATGGAAATAAATATATTTTTTAATCTGGAAAATAATTTTAAATAAAAAAAGGATGGAAAAAAATTAGATAATAATAAAAAATGCGACCGAAAACTGAACCTTTCGTAAAGTTTTAACGAGCTGTACCCAATTAAAAAATATTATATCTAGCTTACAAAAATTTACGGGCCGAATTAGAAATTTTTCCTACCGATTTCGATAGAAGCGTTGGAATCGCTTTCTGAATTATTACTAAAAAATAGTTTTTATGACTATATTATATATTAATCAGAGACCTGCAGGCTCGGCCCTAAGCCCGGCCCAGGTACACGGGCCAAGTCGTATTTTAATCTTTTTAAATATACTCGGGCTGGGCTTGAATTTTTTTTTATAATATACCAGGGCCGGGTCATTTTAAATCACCATTATTAGCTAGAAATATTAAAAATAAATATAATGTATTTTAAAACCCAGGCTTAAAATTTTTTTTTAAAAATAAATCCTTTTTTATATATAATATTTTAAATAATTGTATAATGAGAGGTAGTATTGTTAAACGGCTCGATTTGAGCCAATTTTTTAAAACGGCTTACTCAACATTTTATTCAGAAAGCAATTACCCAAGACTTAAGATTGTAGTCATAGATGGCACAAAAGTTTGGACTTCTATCAGCGATATGTTGAGGTTTAGTTTATTATTAATAGCATGGTCATATTCTTAAAATAATATAGATTTCGAATTTAAAAATATCTAAATTCCCGAACGAAAGTGGTTATAATATTTTCATCGTGGAGCAAATAATGATAGCAGGCCTATTCAAAATAAATTTTAGCTTACTCTGTAGCTGACTCATAGCGCTGACTCTGAAACCTACTCATGCCGACTCGTGCGGCTCAATGAGTCCTTCAATTTAAAATAAGTTTTGCGATTCAAAACTTGACTAGAATATAGTCTAAGTCATTTCGACTTAGCCGATTAACAATACTACTTCTAGTCAACAAACTAGATAACGAATATATGATAAATTAAAATTAAAAAAATTGTTATATAGGCAGATTATACAAATGACATTTTAAATGATAATATGCAAAAATGTTGTATGGTTTAATTCTTAGATATTATTTTGATATTCATAATTGTTTTATTTTTATTAACCATTGTTATTAAATTGCATGTGTATTTATATATTGATTTTAATGAATAAAAATGACTCTTTATTTGATACTTGTTAATAAAATGAATTCACTTCTGCCTTATTTTTTTTATTATTATAACTCCGTTATACCACATATTGGCGCAATATGGATACAACAAATTATTTTAAAAAAATTTGCAATACCATCCATAAAGCAGAAAAAAAATTAATACTTCTCACAAATATCTAACTAAAAAGGAATGTTATATTTTCAATAAATTTTATTATTTTCAACAGTTTAAAAAACAATACAAGGCAAATTAAAATAAGTTGTTTTTTTTTCTTTTTAAAATAACAATTTATTATATTTTCAAAAATTAAAATCATTTACAAACTATTTTTATATAATGTAAATAAAAATGTAAAAATAAAAAGAATAATATGAAATTTAAAAAAAAAAAATTTAATTTAAGAAAAACATAAATGAGTTCCTAAAAAGGTACAATAGTTAAATTTTAAAATATTGATTTATATGCTCTGTCTGTCAGAGGAATAGGAATTTACTTGATGTTTGCGATTTGATTTTTTCAGCTAAATTTTTTAACAAACTAGAAGTTAAAGGAGGAAATTGTCCGTTGGCACTTGCAGACGTATCTATTGGTGGTGAGAATATAAAATTGCTCAGGCTTTTGTATTTGTTATTTTTTTTATTTTTTGCTATTGACTTTATGATATAGACACGGATGCGACCTAATTCAATCTCATAATTGCATGAAATGCAATCTTCTAGTAAATACCAATAGTCGGGTCAGCATGATCACAACTGCTTTTAAAGTCAAGGACGTTACCAGAACTTTAAAGAACTCGCAAGCTCTCAAAAGATGAAGGGCTATGACTGGGTCATAGTCAAATCGCTTATTTAGAACTATACATGTGTCTTATCCTTCCTCACAAATATTAATAGTAACCTGCTTACTCAAGCATAGAATAACAAAATAAACAAGTGCAAAAGCTCTAGCAAATTTTTATTCCCATCAAAAGCCACTCTACTAACGGACAGTTGACTCCTTTAACTTTAAGCTTGAAAAATTTAGCTCACAAAATCAAACCACAAACATCTGAACCAAGGAAAATCCTTTTCCTCAGACTATGTTGTTAAAAAGCCCGATTCGGGTCGATTTTAAAAAACGGCTCGATTAATTTTAACCAAAATAATATCATGTAAACCTGGAAATTTAGCTCATAGCTGGTGGAAAGATTTGGACATCTATTCGCTAAATCCTTAGGCTTGAAATTATTTTGGCTAAAATCTTAATCGGGCCGTTTTAAAAAATTAACCAAAATCGGGCTTTCAACACTACCTCAGACAGAACTTACAAATAAATATTTTTTCAAATTTAACTATTGTTCTTTTTTAAGAACTCAATTATGTTTTTCTTAAAATTAAATCTTCACCCCCCCTTACCTTCCACCCTTCCCTTCCCCCTTTCTCTGATAGAATAAACTGAATAGTAAAGCATTCAATTAACGATATTACCTTGTGGGACTTAATGTCATCGTATGAGCATGATCACTCTATTACTATTACAACTCATAATTCTGATGACGATCTGATGGCCAGAATAGCTGAAAATTATAACACTTTTAAAATAAAGAAAATAAGAAATGGATCACAAAAAAGTTGGGAGAAATTTTACACAAGAAATAAGGACAAGTTTTTCAAGGATAGAAATTGGTTTGAAAAGGAATTTTATGAGCTAGATTTATCCAATGTATTTATATGTTGATTATAATATAAAATATCAAATTAGGAACAGGTTACTTTGTTAGAAGTTGGTTGTGGAGTCGGAAATTTAATTATACCATTGCTCCAAAGACATAAGAATTTATACATCATTGGCTGTGATTTTTCTAAATCTGCCCTCCTGATTCTCAAAGTTTATTAATAGGTTATATACATTCATAAATAAAATAAATAGGATAATTTAGCAAAGAAAAATTTATCCCACAGAACTATTATTTATGATGCTGATATTACTAAAGATAATTTGCAGAATTATCAAATTTTTGATACCAGAAAAGCTGATTACATAACATTAATATTTGCTCTCTCTGCTATTGATCCTATAAGCCATTTACATGTTTTACAAAATTTTTATCAAGTATATCCAAGCTTTCATTTGTTTATTTTTTTAATCCCATATATTTCAAATTAAAACTTATATTTAATTAATTTACAGTGACCAATTTAACATGTATGATTTAATAAAAAAAAATGGATTAAATTAAACTCAATATAAAATTACAAGGTACTGAAAAATGGGGGGAAAATCTTATTTAGAGATTATGCTGTATCAGATCATGCCATGCTGCGATTTAAAAAGCTCAATCAAATCAATGCAAATTTTTATTACAGGCAAGATGGAACTCTGTCTTATTTTTTCAGCATAGGTACCTGATTAGTTAAACCTATTATATTCTCAGATATTTAAAATAATAAATTTAATTTTAAAACTATTTCTTTTAAATCCATATTAATATTGATTATTTCTAATTAATGTAGAATATTTAATATACTAATAATAATCAATCTTATATCTCAAGATTACCTCAGACAGATCTTTGAAAGTGTGGGTTTTATTACTGAGGAATGCCAATACATAAAAAAGGAAATAAATAATATAAAGGAAAATATAAAGAATATTCCACGTCAATTTATACAAGCCAAATTTATGAAACCAATATAAAATAAATTATACATAAGAATGGGTCATTTGTTTTTATATCATTTTAAAATGAATGGGCATATTTTTCAAAATAAACATGAAAAAAATTTACATTGTTTATTAGGACATGGGAAAATATGTTAGTAAAAGTTATATTAAGTGAAATTTTAAAATTAACTTATTTAGATAAAATAAATATTTTTTTATTACAAATATATGTATGAATCAAATTATAAAAATAAATTTATAATTTTTGTTAGCCATGTTAATTGTTTATTTTTATCAAAATAAAGTTAATATTAATTATTTTGTATGTATTTGTGTATAGTCCAGTGGTGTGTAAGTTAAAAATTTGATGTGAGGGGGGGGGGGGCTAAATTTTTCTTTATATTTTACCAAAATTTGATATATATAAAGTCGAATCCCGGAAAAAAACCCTGAATATTTTTTTCGAATTTACTTAAGATCTAATAAAATCGGTATATTTTTATTTGGATTTAAAAGGGTTTTCGAATTTACTTAAGATCTAATAATATCGGTATATTTTTATTTGGATTTAAAAGGGTATAGATAAATAAGTATTTTAGAAAAAAATATTATAAAAATATAATTTAATAATAAATTATATACATAATAATGATTTATCAATAAAATAATCAGATCTTATTGCAAATTTTGTCAAATTTAGTCTACTTAATATAGTAATTAAGGATGGATATTGTATTTATTACCATAGCAAAAATTTTTACGAAAATTAGTAATAACATGGGTTATTTTACTGGGATATTTTTCTTCCCAGTACTAATTTGAACATCAGCATTTTTTATTGTTTAAGCACTGCGATTTTGTTTTCGGTGTCCAACTACCTACACGCCATCGTTCAAGTTTGGTTTCATCGGCAGCCACCTCGCATTTCATTTTTTTAATCAATACCACGATTATTCGAACCTTCGCATTTATTTTTTATGAGTTATTCGTTGGATAGAGTGCTCTGATTTACGTTCCAAGTTTCTGGAGGAAATCGAGGCCCAATTCGACCTGTCTGGGATTGAGAATTACTTCTTGTGACCTCCCTTGATACTCCATTGATGTAATTTTTATCGAAATATTCAAGAATATCCTTATCATTGCTCGGAGTAGTGTTGTTAAACGGCTCATTTTGAGCCGATTGTTAAAAACGGCTAACTCAATATTTTAGCCAAAGAAATATTGTCTAAAGCTCCAAATTTCGCTAATAGATATCTAGACCTTTGTGTCATCTATGAGTAAAAATCTTCAGGCTTGAGTAATATTTTTCTATATAAAATATTGAGTTAGCCGTTTTAAAAATTGGCTCAAATCGAGCCGTTTAACAACACTAGCTCGGAGTAACGGATCTAAGGAATGTCATTGCATTGCCCATATCACATAAAGGAACAAATGCTAAGCCGTCAATCATGCCACAAAAGAAGCTTAGGGCTTCATCGGTTCTGTATTGGCTTTCCAGACTTAGCTTTAGAATTTTTATATGGGTACTTTGACACAAATGGTAAAAGCATCCTCTGATTATGATGTGATGTGATCCCTTAATTGAAAAATAAATATGAATAATTTAACATATTAATAATCATACCAATGACAGTTTTAACCGCGCTCATAGCAGACTTTTCGAAATCCATGTATATATATATATAATGGATCGGGAAATAAATCCCGTTCTTGACATTTAGACTTACTTCGAATATTTTTTCGTAAGTATTTTGGTTTTTTTTAGTATAATAGCTGTTATATCAATATTAATTATTGCTAGGTTATACTAAAAAAATTAAGTGAAAATTGAGAAGAAAAAAATTGAGAAAAGATCAGAAAAATAAAGATTAACAATGACTTAAAGCAAAAATGGGAAGAAAATGATAAATTAAGAAAAAAATTTAAGAAAAATTGACAAGATAAAAATTTTAAAAAATAACGATTTTTTTTTTTTTGAATTTTTCTTCCATGGGGTTTTTTTTCTAGAGGTTTTTTTCCGGGGGTTATTTTCCGGGGTTTTTTTTCCTACTACCATGTAAAATCACTTTTTTTTTATATTCTAAATATGAAAATAATTTTCAGTGAATATTTATCAATAATCTAAAATATTAATTTTTAATATATTATAATATAACAAATTTAATTTATATGTTTAAACAAAATATTTAATACACTATATCGAATTAAATTCTAAATATGGAAAAGTTATGTCACAATTTAAGCTTACCTATTAATCCACTTAGTAATTAAGAGTTTAAACTTTTCATTAGGAATATCTCAATGATTTTTTTTTAATAATTGGCAAAAGGATACTGATGAACCTGTATCCCCTATTTTTTTTGGTTCCATGTCAATTCAGCAAAACCTTTATCGCAAAATACTTTTTTGCGAATGTTTATTAGGGGTTGTCTTTGCTAGCAATTAAAATTCGCATATTCGCCCATTTTTTCTCAAATTTTTGTAAATAATATAAAAAGATGTAGTGTCTTAGCAAACATTCACGCATTTTTTAAATTACATATGAAGACATAGCCTTAGCGAAACTTATTTCGAATTTACTTTAGCAGGGATACGAACCCAGCAAAATTTTTGCCCGGGTTCGGTTTAAGGTTAAAAAAATAGGTGGGTTCGGTTCAGGGAAATATTTTTGAAACCTGGTTCAGCTCGGGTTTAAGAATTTTTGAATTGATAAAAAAATTATTTTATATTTAAATCATAATTAAAAAACAAGACATAGATTTGGTAAATAAATTTTTTATTTTATTTATAGGCATAATATGGTAAGCGGAAAATAATTCCCTGGAAAAAAAAATCCCCGGAAAATAATTCCCCAGAAAAAAAATATCCTGGAAGATAATTCCCCGGAAAATAATTCTCCGGGAAAAAAATCCTTGGAAAATAATTACCCGGAAAAATATTCCCCTGGAAAAAAATTCCCATAGAAAATATTTCCCCGGAAAAAATTCCCCGAATAATTTTTTTAAAATTATCAAAAAATAATCCCGCCGCTAAAATAACGAAAATATTTCTAAAAAATATATTAGTATTTTCTGAACCTTGAGAGTATTTCTTTTTTAATTCCAAAAGGGCAATCTTTAAATGAGAATTGATAAATCGGTTGGTAGCTTTTATAATTTAGTAGATAGCATAAAAAGTATGGATTTGTGACGATAGATTTTTATAGAAATATAAATTATGAAATAGGTTTTACAATTTAAAATTGAAAAGAAAAATGTGAAAGCAAATTTTTCCATAGAAAGAGAAAGGTTATTTCTATAATCTACTTTTCATCTAGACTTGAATAGATATTATGAAAACAGGTACTTAAACCACATTATATTTACCATGAAGAGGGGGAGGGGGTGTTATTTCTAACACGCCACTAAGGTTAAAATATATATAACATTAAAATGAATATTATGACACTATTCTGTTCCGTTCGTTTATATCAGTTTGAATCCCGGACAAAAATAATATAATGGAAATTTTTTAAAAATTGTATCTGATTATAAATTTTCAAAAAAAGTATTGATCCTAATCTCTAATTACAAAAGCTTATTTAATTCAAAGACTATCTCAAGTAATTGAACGCTACCAAAAAATATACTATTTATTCTAAATAATATTTGTTATTTTTATAAATATTATAATTTTTAATATATTTAATTCATCAAAGAAAACACAGGAGGGACTATAATTAAAATAGAAACTTTTTTATTTGAAAGTTTCCAATTCCAGAAATGTTATTACATAATCCCATAGTTCCCTGATATTATAATTATTTATAACGTTGAAAGGAAAGTTATGCTCAGGAATAAATTTATATATTTGGGTGGTATATTCTTTGTAATTTTAAAACAAACGATTTTCATTTAGTTTTTTTATTACTTTTTATAAAATTTTCTTTTACTATTTAAAACATTTTTGATAATTTTAATATTTTTATATTTAATCTTCTGTTAAATAAGCATGCTAATAATTTTCATGAGGGCTATTCCTACAATTATCATAAAACTACGAAAAATTTTAAAAGATTCAAATGTACAATATATAATGCTGAAAAATGCCCAGTTATTTTGAAATATTACAATGAAAATGACTATACATTGGAAAATACGCCTCATATTCATCCTATAAACCCACATTAATATCAAATTGAAAATGCTATAAGCACGATGAAAAGAAAAGCCTCTGAAACAAATCAAAATACTTGCCAAATATACGCAGAAGAAATGTCTAAATTGTCTCCCGAATCCAGAAAAAGACTTCCGGATGAAGATAGTATCAAGAGGACACTTAGAAATCACAAAATAAAAAGGTCTATTCCGGCCACATTGGAAGAATTAAGCATTTCAAATTAAATCATATTTATGTCTATAAATAACTTTTTAATTGAAAGTATCTTTTAATATTAGAGGATTGGGCTACAACCGGATCTCCTACGAATGAGAGATTTCTTTTGCATGATAATGGCGGAGATTCTAATGAACGAATATTATATTTGCCACCGATTATATGCTTAAAATGTTAGCCGAAACGAAAACTTGGTATATAGACGGGAATTTTAAATTGGCTCCTCATTTATTTTTGCAGCTATATTAATTAGAATACACTTTAAAACACTGTTTATTACAGCGGCATATTTTTTGTTACAAAGAAAAACATACAACGTATGAAGAAATTTTTAAGAGTTTACTCGAAAAATCCCAAGAACGGAATTTAGTCATAGATCCGATAACAATTTATATGGATTTTGTAAAGGCCGCAATCAATGCCATCGAAAATACTCTAGGTTTCTTTTTACGATTTACAGGGTTTCCCATCCAAAAAAGGAAAAGTCCCAATCAAAAAAGGAAAAAGTTCAATCAAAAAAGGAAAAGGTCCGATCAAAAAAGGAAAATTGTCAATCAAAAAAGAAAAAGTCCCAAAGGTTAAGGAAAAAGTCCAATCAAAAAAGGAAAAGTGTCAAACAAAAAAGGAAAAGTGTCAAACAAAAAAGGAAAAGGTTCAATCAAAAAAGGAAAAGTGTCAAACAAAAAAGGAAAAGGTCCAATCAAAAAAGGAAAAGTGCCAATCGAAAAAGGAAAATTCCCAAAAGAAAAGGAAAAGGGTCAATCAAAAAAGGAAATTCCCATTCAAAAAAGGAAATTCGTAATTTTTTTAAAAAAATATATAAACTTTGATG